TTCCGGATAAGAAGGTAGCAATGCTCACCAATCGCCGCCGCCGCCACTTGAGCTGGAACCCGAGCTGCCCGCACTGCTGCCACCTGTAGGTGTTGAGGACGCGGCCGTGCCCGTGCCCGTGCCCGTGGGCGTGGTGACGGTGGGCTGAGAGTCACCGAGCGCGGCGGTACAATAGCTGGTGTACCATGATTGAATGCTCGTCAGGTCGGCGGCAGCGCAGCCAGCCGCGTCGCAAGGGCCTGACACGGAGCCCTGTTTGAAGGGCTGAAGGGGAGCAAAGTCACAGAAACAGTTGTTGTCGACACTGTTGCCAGATGCTGGGGGCACACAGCCGCCGTTCGCATCGTAGAGAACGCCGCAGTTGAGCGCACAGGCGGGCAGGTTCGCAAAGGGGATGATCGTCGTTGAAGGGGGAGCTGCTTGAGCTGGGGATCTGTTAGAACGCCCCACGACAACGACATGGAGCAAGACCTTCTCTACTTACCCATTGTGAAGGTGATATGCTACAGGAACAAAGTACAAAGACAGGGTAGATCAAACAGAGAATGAGTTCGACGCGATGTCGAAGTACCGAAAAGTCCGGCTCGGTTGGTGGTGCTGGCAATCGTTGTGACGCGAGGTCGAGTGTGTTTGATGCTCTGATCGAGCAGGACGAAACGCAGTGAAGATGGTACGACACGAAATGGCCGCGACTGACGACTGTAGCGGTAGGCTAGGGCGCGGGCACAATTGGGTGGCTCGGTCGGAGATGGCGGCAGCAGATGCTGTGATACGGTTCGAGGGAACAGTCGATGATGTGACTGGAATGAGAAGTCGGCGACGGTCACGCTCGCTCGGGCGTTTCGGATGTCGAAAGCGAGGAGAACGTCGACAGGAGAGCGACGCAGAAGACGATGTCGGCAAAGGGGGTCGTGAGGCAAATCGGACAGGTTCTCTGTCCAGGCAGGTTGTGGTTGGGTTATGACTCGGATATTGCCAGCTCGTATGCCGTGTGTCCGTATTCAGGGCCTGTACTTCAGGGGACTTCCGCCCGATGGAACGTCAGATGATTGGAAGCGAGCGAGGCGTGGGCTGGGTGAACGGGATCTCAACGTCGTAGCGTCGAGTCTTGTCCAAGAAATATCCTCCTCTTGATCGGCGAAAGCGAATGTATTGTGCCGATGTTGTGGGATGTGTTGCGTCGTCTGGCTGATGGGCGGGATGGCGGAGGAGAAGGGAAGGAAGGGGGGGGCCACGAGATCTAGAGATCGAGGACTTCTGGGACACCAGTGGAAGAGACGGAAATGGAGACGATTGGGGGGGAAGGGGGGACGAGTCAGCAGCACACACCTTGCAAATGACGGGTGTGTCGACTGCATTCCGTTCGCTGCTGCCAACTGCTTGACGGTCCGGATGAGAGCGGCGGACACCCCAGCCAGGTCTCTGCTCTCAAGCCCCAGCCACCCTGGACGTACATCCTTGGCGAGCCTTGGCCTGGGCCAGGCCCCTGAGCTCTTTTTCCCAGTCTCCTGCGAACTGCGAACTGCCAACACAGAAGCTCTGCCAGGCTCCCACCATTCTGTGCTCCATGATTCGCTCATTGGGTGGCTGGTGCGCTGGTATTCGGCTCCACCGGCTTCTTCCTGCATCTGTATTAGCGCACGCGCCTCGCTACCCGCCGAGCCAGTTCTGGTCCGCCAGGCTGCGCTGCCAGCCCAGCCAGGAGGGCCCTCCTCCCCCCCCTTCCCTCCCCCATGTCTTTTTGACGACGACCTGAAGAGTGGGGAATATGACAAGAGAGCACCTTTTGTGCACCTTGTACCTACGAAAACCACCCCTTGTCTGCTTGTCTGTCCAAAAGGCGCCGTAGGGTACCTGCCTGACACGAAGCTGAGCTGACTTTGCCATTCTGTCCGTGGAAGCGGGTCCACATGCTGCATGTGGAATATTGATTCGCGTTCTCCCCGTGACTTGTGCCTTACCCACGACGGCGACATGTCCCCGCTGCCCCGTATTGACAATTGGGGACAAGACAATAAGACTGCTCGACGACCATCTTCGTGTCAGCTTATGGTGTATGTATATGCGTGTGTCGACGTACGTGTGTCTCGCTCCCTCCGCCTCGTAAAACAATTTGGGCGTAAAGAAAAGGCACTCTGCCAAGAAAGCCGACAAAATGCTTGACGTCACGTCTAGCACAGCCTCCTCTGTCGCACCTGCGAAGGCTGCCTACCAGTAAAGTGCCGCCCCAGCGGACAAAGTTCCTACAGGACACACGACCCCCCCAAGGTTTCGGGCTCCCGCCAGTCACGGCCACTACTTCGTCTGGTCTCATCTTCGGGCGCGCATGGCCTTTCCCAGCGCACCGCATTTTCCAAGGCGGAAAGCAAGCTAGGACGGCGAGGCACACACACATCTGCTTCATGATTCATGGCAGTGGTGGTTGGAGGTTTAGTTGCGATAAAGGTACCTACATACCTACCCATCAAGGCACTACAGTACAGTCCCAGATTAGGTATGGACGCTGCTCAGATAAAAGCCAATTGGTACCGATTGGACTTGAGGCCCGTCTCCGGTCTCCTGTGAGCCAAGACTGAGTCCGATCGTGGCTCCTCCTTGGCAGCAAGCCTCCCTGCAATGCTTGGGTAGGTGAATACGACCGACATGGGATGTGGCCCGGTAGCCGTGGTCGAACATTCAGGCTCAAACAACATTCAGTTCAATGGCGCGCGAGCAACCACCGGGGAGTGCCGTGCACGAGATTGATGGCATGACACCCCACTCTCTCTAAAATTGGGCTTTGTCACGCATGCAATCCCAGCGGGGCCCAAGACCTGTCTCACGATCACAAGAGAGGGCCCAGTGAGGCACCCTCGGCCGCTTGTGGCCAAGTTGCCCTGGCTGGTAGCAAGCACAAGCATTGACCGACGCAAGAGGTCGAAGTCCTTCACAGCCTTGATAGGTTTTTGGAATTCCTCGCGAATCATCAGTTGATTGGCGTCATGGTCTAGAGGTATGATTCTTGCTTTGGGACATCTCAAAATTGCAAGAGGTCCCGGGTTCAATCCCCGGTGACGCCCCATGCTTTTTGGAAGTTTGTATCTCTGACATCCAGGAATAACCATCTTCTGCTATCTTTCATTCAGCCTGATGATGTTTGCTGTTTTGGTTTCTGGTTCTTGCTCATCATGTTCGATTTCATGCCAAGGGGAATAACTAGGCATGTATTGTGACTATCCTCCTGAAGTTAAGACGAGAGTGAGAGAACATGAAAGCTAATGACACGGTTTAGCCGCTAGCTGTTTCATTCCTTGCTTCACTTTTTATGGTGCTTCTTTTTGTGTTCCTTGGACTGGCCATGCTTCGTCTTGCACGTGGCTGCCACTCCGCTCGATTGGTGCCCTCCAGACGACGTTGTATACGCGCCGCCACCCTCAGCCACCTCCGCAATATTATTGTATGGACCAAGCCCGGTGGGCTCGTCAAGCCAGCGGGCAAAAGGCTCGGACGTACCGCTGCCTCGGTTGGACGTCTGGTAACTGTGTCCCGGGGTCTTTGTTCCGACTGCCAGGGCGGTCCACTGACAGCCTTTTGCCAGAGAACGAGGCTTTGCGATCGATGAGCCTGAGAAAGCAAGCATGCATGGAGAAAATAGACGCATTAACAACGACGGGACTCACTGCTTGACTTCACATCTTGACGTTGGCTGAACTTGTCTTGGCCCTTATGGCACCCGAGGACAACTGGTGATGCTGGGGCTTCTGAAACGAGACGGGCGTATGAAAGAGATTAAAGGATCAAGGCTTTTGCATCTAATGACTATGAGATCTGGGATTGGTTTATTCTCGAGCCTTCATACCCTCAAGACGCATGGAATCGTCTGGTTTTATATCTTTGCATCTCTGCAGACTATTATGGAGTTGTTGCTCCCTCTCTTGCATCCATGGCTCTAGTGAAAGCCACCACCGCTTCCACTTCAACGTAGACCTCCTCGCTACATCAGTACTCAGGCTCCACGAAGGTTCAGCGTCCTAGCCTCGAGCGACGTCGAGCCTTCCTTCTCGCCGTTGTGTCGACCAAATAGCAGGCACAGTCAGGACTGCGGCTCGGAAACTGCAATCAGCCCCCAAGATGGAGTAGTTGTCGTGTGCAACGTGATATTCATCTGCATCAACAGCGTTGCCTCTTGGCGTTTCTGAGGTCACCTTTCACATGGTTGAGTTCGTGTCAGAGCCATGGACGCATTTCTTGCAGGAGAAAGGATTTCACAGTCCTCTGATCCTTGCTCCTCGGTGACCGCTAACAGAAACTTGAAGACTTGTACTGGCGATTGGTTACACAGAAACTTTCTGGAAGAATTAGCTGCCATGCGTTGGAACAAGCCAACAGAGGACTTGTATTACGGATCCCCTTTGCAGCCTCGAAGCTCGTGTTAGAACCTTCCCATGCCGAGGGCTTGACCTACCCGACATTTCCAAGCCTCGGTACCGGTTCAGAGAGGAAAAGCAGAGCGAGTCGACTCATGCTCACCACTATGTTTTCTGGGGGCTTGTTTGTGGTTCCGCATGGCAATTCAATGTATTGGACGCCGCCGGTCTGTCAGTGTCACCTAACTTGACCTTTTGAGTGAAACGCACCTATGGCGGAGTATGATGGCAGGTGAATCCAGGCGAATTCATTGACTTGGTTTATTCCCATGCGCCCCTGTCAGCCAAAGCGTTTCCTTCCCCTTTTCTTCGTGCCTTGGCGCCAACGGGCAGTGCTTCTATCAAGGAGCCGGCGTTGTGCGATGCTAACGCAGGAAGTTCGGGAACCAGCAGAATCTTGTTGCCGAGGTCGGCTTGCTGCAGCGATGAACTTTGGAAATTGTGGTAAGCAGCCAAGGCACTTTTTGATGCTCGTAGGTTAATGTCGTGGTAACGTCGAACGAAAATACTTAAGATTACACGTGAAGTCTAACAGACAAACTGCCTTGCCGGACTATGCTCACAGTCACACGCGTAAATACCCAGGGATTCAAATGCGTGGCTGCATAATCGAACACTTCGTTGTTGGCCCAACGGAGGCTGCGAAGCCTCTTCTTTGAGGCGTCTGTCTTCGCGGGTGGCTCACTTAAACCCCGACGAAGTCACAGTTGATCCAGCTACTAACACATGTTGTGGTACGGGTTCGACGGGACCGTTTATGGAGTCCCGCATTATTTGGATCGCCTGCGTCTTTCTGCAAGACTTTTGGACCAAAATTCGGTAGTGACGATGAGGAATGTTTCCTACCATAACGTCAAAGCAACGAAAGCCGAACCCTTGCAACGTGCGACGTACGCTGGAGCCCTTGAGTTTCTCTGGACAGTCGGAGACACCGAGCCTCGGCTGTGTCCCTCGAGTTCAGTTAAGGGGCAACAAAGAGAATCTAAATGAGGCATCATACATTGCCTCCTCTAACTCTTACAAGCCAAGGTAAACTCCGAATAGCCACAGAATGTTAGCGTACTGTCTCAAGACGGAACTCACGTCGTACATCATGTGATCCGTTACATGTGCCACGAGGGAAATAAGCCCAAAATCTGTTGTCTCAATCCGACCACGCCACGGCTGTTCCAGCCACAATATAGTGGCGGTCCAACTCTGGCTTGCGGTTGTTCAGTGCGCCCCTGCCCATCGTTGCAGCTTCGAATCTACTTCGAGGCAACATAAGGCGATAAGACTGATACACACAGATGTTGCGCAGAGGACATGGCCGCCACAGACACGGAAAGGCTCCGAGGTGCCCGATTGTCTGTGACAAGCAACAAAACTCGTGGAGGAAACGTAGATCATTGGTACTTCAGGCCCAGTGTCTTGCAAGAATAGGCGAGTATTCTGTCAACACTAGCTCGAGTTCCGCGTGGGTTTCAGTTGCCAACGAACCCTCCCTTCACGTCGAGAGGCTGAATGTCAGTGCTACAGGTTTGACAGCTGCCCATGAGGGGAAGAGCGAAATGAGAGGCGAGATACCTCACATGTGAGGAGAGAGTGACTTTTCCAACGAGCAATACGGAGTGGTAGCCGGCAATAGTTCCCTCAAACACCCAGAAGATACTGTCGTACCAATAAATAGACGGAGCCCCAATTACTCTCTTGTTGAGCGTCCCATCAACTTCTTGCCGTTCTCAACAACAAGCCAATCGTAGCCAATGGTCATCTGCAGGTTTTCGACATCGATGAAAGCAAGCTCGTCTGGCCGGATCTTCTGCAAATACTCAGGGTCCCGAAATGCATCCTCAAATGTCTTGAAATCCTTGACATATGCATCGCTCATGCCATCGTATTCCAGCATCGGACGACCAGCAGCCTTCGCCATGACCTCGCCGAGCGCCTTGGCTTCGTCGGTGGTGTGATACTTTGGTGTTGGTTAGGGGGCTTGCTTGTCAGGGTTGGATTTGGGACATACTTGTCGATACTCAACGACACCATGACGCAGCATAAAGTCTGTACAAAGAGGGGCATGCACCTCCGTCCAGTGCTTGTAGAAAGCATCCTTGGATAAGCCCTTCTTACGGGGTATCAGGGTTGTTATGCGGACGAGCTTCTCGAGAGGCATATGGACGATTTGGAGAGAAAATCCGAAGAGCAGAGGAAAAGTATCTGTTGACCGACAGGAGCACAGGGAGTTAACGAGAAAACATCATGCAGTCGCGTTGGGCTGGCCCAGGTCGCCCTTATGTATGGGCACTGAACCACCATCTTCGCGCTGAGTACCTAGGCAGGTAAGCTGGTAGGTTAGGTGGAAATGCTGACCCGATCAGCTCCATGTGTATCTTGAGGACGAAGATGCGTACACACCCGGTGCAATGACCGCGCTGCAGAATGCTGAATCATTAGCTTCGTCTGAGTTGCCTGGTGTTGGGACCCTAGACGACAATGCGGGAACAACGCTTGATACCGCAACTGCCCTCCATATCGCTACCCCTGGAACAGCGCGCGCCCGGTACTGACATGCAATCGCTTGCCTCTTGGAAGACAGGGACATTACACGTCGCCAAACATGTCGAGCGCAAGCTGTGGCACATGTGTAGAGTGGTCATAGGTGAAATCGCATCATTAGGCTTGCTCAATAGTCTGGTGGAGTTAAATCTTCATACCCAAACGCTGCCGACCACTTGACCCCGCATATTGACGAGGATCAATCCAGCAGACGAGCCGTTTCCTCGTCAGTCTCGCATCCCCGCCTCCTCCACCATCCTCTCGAGCCGTGGCCCTCCTTATCCTGCGTCCTCTCACCGTCACCGAATATGGGCTTCAGAACTGCATCATAGAACATCCATGTCATGTTCTGTACCACGGCCATTGTTCCGGCGAGCCAGAGCGGAACGCGTCCTTGCTTGTCGGCCAGCAACCGCGAGCCAAACATGACAATGAAGAAAAAGGGCAGCATGGTAAACAGCAGAATGAGTCTGCCGACCGATTGCTTCCACGTCGTAATCGTGTACGCTTGCAGGTTGCTCAGGTACCGTTGGTAGTCGTCTGGAAGTTCATGCTCCCGTGCACCATCGGTGATGAGCTTGAGGTAGCGCGCAGAGGCCTGCGAATACGCGGGGTCGTCCCGGTGAGGCCTGCGGATGAAACGCCAATACCACTTATTTCGTGGATCGTCTGGTTTCTTGGGACCATCGCCTGCTGTGGAGTCGCCTTCGCTGCCATCGCCCTCTTCGGGGATGGACGGTGCGAAGAGCGTATGGGCGAAGAAAGGCTTCGGTAGATCGATGGGTGGCTTCTCAGGTACTGATATGCGAGGCGGCAGCGCGAAGCACGGGATGAGAATATCGGCATAGCTGGAACCACCGCCTTCGGTCGCAAGAATGGTGCCGTAGTCTTCAGGTGTGACTTCGTAGACGACGCCCACTATACCCTTGGTCCAACGCGCATCTTGTGATGGTCCAACCGCGACCCCGTTCTCTTCATATTGATCGCTTCCCTCGGCTGCGGCGAACCAGGGTGGGTGGATGGGTGGTACCTTAGGCGGGTTTGTCGGATCCGGTAGTTTGGGAACCTTGCGAAGGGCGCTGTTGGCGAAGCAAGGTTCGAGGTATGGAACGCCGGGGAGGTCGAACACAAGATCAAGGGTCGGCGCCGACACGTTAATCTGAGATATGGGCCTGATGCCGCGGACACCAAGAAAGGTTTCGGCACAGAGATTGGAGCCATATGCAAGGTAGAGGACGGAGGTGGCTGTCGACGGCGGGGCATGTAAGCGAGCCTCTGGCGTTCGGGGGATTGATGAGATGGGCGGGTATGTCTTCTTCGGCCTGGCCATTACATCGCGGCATTTGCGGAGGAGCTTGCATGGTTCCTGGACTGACGCCATTTTTGAGTTCGTTGATGCGATGCGACTCTCCCTTGCTGGTTGGACCATCGGTGGGCTGGCGATAAGACAATTCGACCTGTCAATAACTTGCTACTGGGAAATCACCCTTGAAGCTCGTGTAGCTCTCTTCTGATGATGGTGTGGATAGAAGTCGACATGCGAGCCTTGAATCTTGGATAATCTGAGCGTTGAACAACGGAAAACGACAGGCTCGAGCCTGATGACGAGGATATGCTAGTGGCAGAGACGGATAATTGTCACTGGCTGATAAATCGGCGGGCTACGCCGGAGTTCCATGGCCACCTGTGGAACTTCTCGGTGAGCACCGGTGTAGGTGCGTCAAAGCGTGCTCCTGAAGAGAGCTTTTCACTGCCATCACTGAGCCCATCATGTAGACCGACACCGCGCGGTGGTGCATATTTTCCCATGACGCGACCATAGCCGCACCGCTAGCTTAATTTTTTAATACTGACAATCATCTGCTCTCCGATGAACACGACGGTGCAATGGGCATGCTGCGGTGACCTCAACATGCCATCGATTACCTTGTGCTAATGTTGAGAGTCTCAAACCACCGATGCACGAGCATCATCATCCGGCTGACGTCTCTCTCGTCTGATTCTGATTGAGGATCTAAGATGTCTGCTGTAAATTTTGTCCCCGAATCCTCATTCGTGGCCCAATCGTCCCCTGCAGGTGCGTCCGTCAGTGCTTCCTTCCTCCCGAGTGCGTGTCCCGCTGCACCTGCCATCCAGCCCCATAATGGGAGCGATCACAAGGGCGGGTTCTGTGGGATGCAGGTTCTTTTCCTGCTATGCTTTCTAGTCATGATCTATCGACCGACCCTTCCATTCCAAGTCCGGGCCATCCCAGCTGAAGCTCCAACTGATCTCGATCGGGCCTGAACCAAGGCAAGAAGGCTGTTACCGAAGCCCTGAATATTCTTGATTACACAGTGTCGAAGCCATCCACCTCTCGTTACAGCCCCGTTCTGCTAGAATGGCCAAAGCAAGATCCTCTGGCAAGTACACCGTCAGATCTAGAGGCAGGAAAGTCTCTTCCAAGCCTACAAGTCAGTTACAGATATTTCATGGATCTGTCGATGACCGAGATCAACTCGCAGACGAAGATGGTGCCCCTTTACCAACTTTGAACAAGAGATGCTCTGATAACAGGACTTTGGGCGACGACTGGACCGCACAGAATTCCATTTTGAACCCATCGTCGGAGCGAAGTGGACATTCGAGCGAGAATAAATCGACCCTCCCAGTGGGACACAGTACTATGGGCCAGGGCTGGAACGATGCTGCGGATGAACTCGGTGAAATTACTCAAGGCGAAGAGCCCAGAGCTGTTAACGCCAAACAGAGAACCGGGAAGACTTCGTCTCCTTTCACTCAGGAGGAGCTGCAGAATATCCGGCCCCCAAGTAAGTCTGAGACGATCGCCATGGATCAATCACAGAACACCATGGCGATGGATTTCGACGACACTGCGCAGTCGCAAGACGCCTCCTTCCTCCATGAGGCAGAAGATGTGGTTAATGACATTTTCGTGCCGTCCTCAACCCTGGAAACGGATGAGAACCAGAGGCAGGAGCAGAAATCAAGGAGTAAGCGTCGGTCGAAGAAGCGATCTTATGGACGTCACCAGATCGATCAAGAAAAGCCTGCCGTCGCTGCTCCAAAACCGAAGAAGGCGCCGATGCCTCAAAACCCCAAAATTGCTGATGCTGGCACCGATATCCAAGGACAGGCCGCTGGCGCAGGATATACCAACCAACCGGCGCAAGTGAAAGCTCTGCTGCACTTAAACCAATCTCAGAACCCAGGAATGCCTCCCGGGTCTCGTCGGCATGCGATCAAAAAGACAGGGGATATGACCGACCCTTCCGTCAAGCGCAAGAGGCCCAAGCAGAAAGCCAAGACTCCATTCCAGTACTCGGCCAAAAACAACGATGACCTGAGTATCAAAAATCATTGCGATCTATCCGAAAACGGCCATCTTTCCCTTGAGAATGAAACACACATCGTGGGTTTGCACAATGGTGTAATGGACCAGGTTGATACGGATCTCACGACCCCACTGCCGGTACAAACTACCTCTTCAGATTGTATACTTGGACCGGCCCAAAGAGGGAGTCAACCCAATTTTGACGTCTTGTCTAGCCCTGATTTGGATGAGACCGATCACATGCTGAAGCTGGGGACACCCGACGCTTCAATGATGATGACGACGTTCTCCAGCTCACCTGCTTGCCAAACAACGCAACGTGAACTGCCAAGCGACTTTTCGGTGTTGGACGCCTTCAATGACGATGACTTTCGAGAAATGACAGGCAAATTGAAGCGCGTTGTTACATCAAAAATATACTGTGAAGCTAGTCGCAACGACGCAGAACTGAGCCAGATGAGACTTGGAGCCTGCACAGCAGCGACGAAGCCTGCCGAACGGAGCCATGACCATGATGCGAAGCGCGTTTCGAACCCTGCCCAACCAGACCTCCAGTCCACTCAACAACCGAGAGAACATCTCAAGAAATACACAGCTGCTGCTGTCACATCCGGCGACAGGACAATCCCCATCTCGTCAGATGAGAGCTCCGCTACGAGTGCCAGGAACTCTGCCGAGGTTGCAATTCCCTTGTTATCACGACAACCACCACATTCTCCTCCTGGCAACGGCATCACGGATAATTTGATAGCGGAGCCGTTCGGTCATGGTTTGGCTCTTAGTCGTATGCGACAGGTAGGTGAAGTTGAGACGAAGACAAACCAGCTTGTCGCTCCGAACCCCAACCGTCCCACAGGCTCAGGCCAAAGATCACCAAAAAAGCGTGTTGCCATTGACATCGCCTCCATGAGCGGCCAAAACAAACGCATGAAAAGAAATCAGGATTCAATCCCGACGTGTGGCATGGCAGATGATTCTGTTGACGCAATCATCAAGGTCATGGCCGAGGACGGCGACCACTCGCCAGTTTGCACAACTTTTATCGAGCAGACAACCGAAATTGGGGCTGGGCACGATGTAACTGACAATAGGAAATCTAAAGAATTTACGCAAGAAGCTCTAATCATACAAGATGAACGGGTCATGCGATTTCCTCAGGAGTCGACAGTGGCATCCGTTTCTGCTAGCGACATCGGCAACATGACCTTAGAGACCTATCATCACGAAAGAGGCTTACAACGAATGGACGACGCATCCCGAACCAGAATATCGAACAGGCAGGTGCCTAAGCAGCTTGCGTCTGCTGGCGGGTGCGGCGCACCTTTGCGCCCGCTGTCTCGTACCAGGTCTATTGTCGACGAACGTGGCAGTCCGAAACCCGAGGAGTTTCTGACCTGCATGGACCAAAAAGCACCCAACCTCAACGATCGGAGAAGAAAGAGCCAGCCTGCTGAAAAGCCTCCCGCGTGGAAGAAGCCCTTGAGGAAGATACAACCTGAGTTCGGTGCCATTCAACAGGAGACTACTGGCATACAACCAGCCTCGGGCGCAGACTATGAACATTTCTTGGGTGCGACTGGCTGCACCCACCCAGCCGAGTCTATGTCGGAAGTGGAGCGACACAACAAAACTGTCGCGCAGACAGATAGCAAGCCAACAGATAAGCTGAGTTGTTTCCAGAAGCCAGCAACTCTGACTGCTCTGGCATATGACTCGAATGCGGCGTACAAGAAAACTCTTCCACAACCAGGTACGTCAGCGGATAT